TTTTTGAAAAAATAAACAATATTGACAAACCTCTAGCCAGTCTTCTCAAAAAGAAAAGAGAGAGCACTCAAATAGACAAAATCATGAATGAAAATGGACTGATTACAACCAACCCCTTAGAAATACAAGCAATTATCAGGGAATATTATGAAAAATTATATGTCAACAAATTGGACAGCTTAGAAGAAATGGAAAAATTCCTAAACACACACTCACTACCAAAATTCACATGGGAAGAGATAGAAAATCTGAACAGACCCATAACTAGTGAGGAAATCAAGTCAGTTGTCCAAAATCTCCCAACAAATAAGAGCCCTGGGCCAGATGGCTTCCCTGGGGAATTCTACCAGACATTTACAACAGAATTAATACCAATTCTTTTCAAGCTATTCCAAAAAATAGAAATTGAAGGAAAACTTCCGGACTCATTTTACCAAGCCAGCATCACTTTGATTCCAAAGCCAGAGAGAGATCCAGCAAAAAGAGAGAGCTACAGGCCAATATCCTTGATGAATACAGATGCAAAAATCCTCAACAAGATCCTTGCAAATCGAATTCAACAGCACATAAAAAGAATTATCCACCACGATCAAGTGGGATCCATTCCAGGGTTACAGGGTGGGTTCGATATTCGCAAATCAATGTGATGCATCACATCAACAAAAGAAAAGATAAAAACCATATGATCCTGTTGACAGATGCAGAAAAAGCATTTGACAAGATACAGCATCCCTTCTTAATAAAGACCCTCGGGAAAGTCGGGATAGAAGGAACTTACTTAAACATCATAAAAGCCATCTATGAGAAGCCCTCAGCTAACATCATCCTTAATGGGGAAACACAGAACTTTCCCCCTGAGATCAAGAACACGACAGGGATGTCCACTCTCACCACTGTTGTTTAACATAGTGCTGGAAGTCCTAGCATCAGCCATCAGACAACAAAAGGAAATCAAAGGCATCAGAATTGGTAAAGAAGAAGGCAAACTTTCACTATTCGCAGATGACATGATACTCTACATCGAAAACCCAACAGACTCCACCAGAAGCCTACTAGAGCTTGTCCATGAATTCAGCAAAGTTGCAGGGTACAAAATCAACGTAGAGATCGAATGCATTTTTATACACCAATAATGAAGCAACAGAAAGAGAAATCAAGAAACTGATCCCATTCACAATTGCGCGCGCACGCACACACACACACACACACACAAAACCCCATAAAATACCTAAGAGTAAATCTAACCAAAGATATAGGAGATTTGTATGATGAAAACTATAGAAAACTTATGAAGGAAATTGAAGACGACACAAAGAAATGGAAAAACAAACCATGTTCATGGATTGGAAGAATAAATATAGTTAAAATGTCATTACTACCCAAAGCAATCTACACATTCAATGCAATCCCAATCAAAATTGCATCAGCATTCTCCTCAAAACTAGAACAAACTATCCTAAAATTTGTATGGAACCACAAAAGACCCTGAATAGCCAAAGTAATATTGAAGAATAAAACTAAAACGGGAGGTATCACCATCTCAGACTTTAGTCTCTACTACAAAGTTGTCATCATCGAGACAGTATGGTATTGGCACATAGACCAATGGAATAGAGTAGAGAACTCAGAATTGGACCCACAAATGTATGGCCAACTAATCTTTGACTAAGCAGGAAAGAGTATCCAATTGAAAAAAGACAGCCTCTTTAACAGATGGTGCTGAGAGAACTGGACAGCACCATGCAGAAGAATGAAACTAGATCATTTTCTCACACCATACACAAAAATAAACTCAAAATGGATAAAGGACCTGAACGTGAGACAGGAAACCATCAAAACCCTAGAAGAGAAAGCAGGAAAAAACCTCCTTGACCTCAACCACAGTAATTTCTTACTTGACACATCCCCAAAGGCAAGGGAATCAAGAGCAAAAATGAATTACTGGGACCTCATCAAGATAAAAAGCTTCTGCACAGCAAAGGAAACAATCCATAAAACTTATAGGCCACTGCAAAAGGGGAAGAGATAGTTGCAAATGACTTATCAGATAAAAGGCTAGTATCCAAAATCTATAAGGAACTCCCCAAACTCTACACCCAAGTAACAAACAATCCAGTGAAGAAATGGGCAGAAGATATGAACAGACACTTCTCCAGTGAGGACATCCAGATGGCCAACAGGCACATGAAACGATGCTCAGCATCCCTCATCATCAGGGAAATACAAATCAAAACCACCTCACGCCGGGCAGAGTGGCTAAAATGAACAAATCAGGAGACTCTGGATGCTGGCAAGGATGTTGAGAAATGGGCACCTTCCTACTCTGTTGGTGGGAATGTAAACTGGTGCAGCCCCTCTGGAAAACAGTGTTGAGATTCCTCAAAAAATTAACAATAGAACTCCCCTAGGACCCAGCAGTAACGCTGCTAGGAATTTACCCAAGGGATCCAGGAGTGCTGATGCATAGTGGCACATATACCCCAATGTTCATAGCGCACTCTCAACAATAGTCAAAACATGGAAAGAACCTAAGTGTCCATCAACTGATGAATGGATGAAGAAGATGTGGTATATTTATACAATGGAATACTAATGGCAATGAGAAAGAATGAAATCTGGCCACGTGTAGCAACATGGATGGAACTAGAGGGTGTTATGCTGAGTGAAATAAGTCAGGCAGAGAAAGATAGATACCATATGTTTGCACATATAGATGGATTAGGAGGAAGTTAATGGAGGACCATGAGGGAGAAGAAGGGGAAACATAGTGGGGGAGAGGGAGGGAGGCAAACCATGATAGACCCTAGAATGCTGAGAAAAAACTGAGGGCTGATGTGGGTGGAGGAGAGGGGAATGGGGGTGATGGGCATGGGGGAGTGCATTTGTTGGGATGAGCACTGGGTGTTAAATGGAAACCAACTTTACAATAAATATTTAAGAAAAAAATCAATACCAATTATTCATAAACCCCTTTAAAAAATAGAAGAGGAAGAATTACGTCCCAACTCATTCTATGAAGCCTATATTATTTGATCTCAAAGCTAGACAAAGACACTACAAGAAAACCACAGACCAAAATCTCTTATGAATAGAGATAAATCCTCAATAAAATATTAACAAGGTACATCCATTAACTTTAAAAAGGATTATACACCATGACCACATAGGATTTATTCCAGGAATACAACATGAGTTTAACATGTGGAAATCAGTGTAATGCAACTTATTCATAGAATAAAGCACAAATCCCACATGGTCATCTCACCACACACCAAAAAATCATTTGACAAAATGGAACAGTTTTTCATGATTAAAACATTCAACATACTATTAATAGAAGGGAACTTCCTCCACTTGCTAAAGGCCATCTATGAAAAACTCACAACTAACATCATACTTACTGAAATAAGTAAGTGAAATACTGAATGCTTCCCCTAAGATCAAGATAAAGGCAAGGGTGCTTGCTTCTACCACTGCTACTCAACATTGTGCTGGAAGTTCTAGGCAGGGCAATTAGGCAGTAAGAAGGAATTAGGCATTCAGACAGGAAAAGAAAAAGTAAAATTATCTCTATTTGCAGGTGACGTGATGATAACCTATACAGAAACTCCTTAAGCAATCCACTAAAATCTATTAGAAGAAATGAGTTCAGCAAGGTTGCAGGGTAGATCAAATTATGAAACTCAATTGAATTTCTATAAAGTATCAATGAACAATTTGAAAGTTAAATGAAAACAATTCTAGTTATAGTAGCAAAAAATTAAATACCTGAGAATAAATTAAATGCAAATCTTATCATCTGAACATTAGAAAACATTGTTGCAAGAAATTAAAGGAGACCTAGGGCACCTGGGTGGCTCCATCAGTTAAGCATCTGACTTTGGCTCAGGTTGTGATCTCACAGTTCGTGGGTTGAACCCCATGACGGGCTCTGTGCTGACAGCTCAGAGCCTGGAGCCTGCTTGGGATTCTGTGTCTCCCTCTCTCTCTGCCCCTCCCCTTCTCATGCTGTGCCTCACTTTCAAAAATAAACAAAAATTAAAATAAAAGAAATCAAAGAGGACCTTAAAAAAATGAAATCCATACCTCATTCATGGACCAGAGAACTTAATACTGTGAGGATGACATTCCTCCCCAAATCGATCTTTAGATTTAACACAGTCTCTATCAAATTCCTAGATTTTTTTTTTTTTTTGTAGAAAGTAGCAATCTAGTCCCTAAGATTCATGAGTAAATTCAAGGGATACAGAATAGCGCAAACAATATTGGGGGGAAAATATCAGAGAATTCAAACTCCCCAATTTGAAACCTTCTACAAAGTGATAGTAATCAAGCCCGTGTGGTCCTGGCATAAGAACAGACTTACAAATAAATGGAATGGAATTCACAGGCCAGAAATAAACCCTTACATGTATAATTACTTTATGTTTCGTGTGGGTGCCAAGACAATTCAATGGGAAAAGAACAGTCTGAATAGTCTATTCGACAAACGGTGCTGGGACAACTCTGTATCCCTAAGCAAATGAATGACCTGGACTACTTCCTCACAGCATATGTAATAATTCACTCCAACTAGATTATAGACCCAAATAAAGAGGAAAACTACAAAACTCCTAAAAAGAAAATATACAAGAAAATACTTGTGACCTTAGGGTACACAAAGCCTTCTGAGTTATGATACCAAAACACAAGGAACAAAAAAAAAATCTACTTCAGGGGCGCCTGGGTGGCTTAGTCGGTTAAGCGTCCGACTTTCGCTTAGGTCATGATCTCGCGGTTCGTGGGTTCGAGCCCCGCGTCGGGCTCTGTGTTGACTGCCAGCTCAGAGCCTGGAGCCTGTTTCAGTCTGTGACTCCCTCTCTCTCTGACCCTCCCCTGCTCACGCTGTCTCTCTCGCTCTCCTAGAAATAAGTAAAAAAAAAAAAAAAAAAAAAATCTACTTCATTGAAATAAAAAATGTTTATGTTTCAAAGGACACTATTAAATAAATAAATAAAACACTGCTTGCCTCTGCAGCACATATACTAAAATTGGAATGATACAGAGAAGATTAGCACGGCCCCTGTGCAAGGATGACACAAATTTGTGAAGCGTATATTTTTTGAACAAATAAAACAACCCACAGAATGGGAGAAAATATTTGCCCCCATATGTCCAATTAGGTACTTGTAGCTAGAATATATAAAGAGCTTTTCCAATTCAATAATAAAAAGACAAACAAACCAATTTAAAAAATGGACAGAAGAGATGAATAGACATTTCACCAAAGAAGACATACACAAGGCCAATCAGTATATGAAAAGATGATCAACGTCATTAGACATTAGGGAAATGTCAATCAAAATCATAATGAGATGCCACTGAATATCCAGTAGAATAGCTGTAAATAAAAAGACAATAGCAAGTGTTGGTGAGGATGTGGAGAAATGGGGATCCTCATACATTGCTAGTGGGAGTATAAAATGGCATGATTGCTTTGGAAAACTGTCTAGCAGCTCCTTAAAATATTAAACATAGAGTTACCATATGCTCAGAAATTCCAGTCGTAGGGTACATACCCAAGAAAAACAAAATCATACCTGTACACAGAAATATGTACATAAATGTTCATGACAGCATTATTAGCAAGATCTCCAAAGGGGAAACAGCCTGAATATCCATCAACTAATGAATGGATAAATAAAATTTGGTCTATGTATGCGGTGGATTAGAGTTCAGCAATATAAAGGAATAAAGTACTGAGTCATGCTGCCTTTTGAATAAAACCTCATAAAAACTTTTATGCTGAGTGGGGAAAAAAAAGACATAAAAGACCGTATATTGAATGATTACATTTATAGGAAACATCCAGAAAAGTCTGGATAAAAAGCCTGATAGCAGGTTAACAGATATCTGCAGCTGGAAGTGGGAATGAGAAGGGACTGTAAATGGACATGAGGGATCTTTTGGGGACAATGGAAATGCTCTAAAATTCTTTTTTTGGTGACGGTTTCATAACTAGGTACATTTATTAAGATTCAGTGAACTTTACGCTTACACTGGGTGAATTTCATGGTATATATATTCTAGCTCAACAATGCTGTTAAAACAAAAAACATATGTGGGATATATGCTCTGATAGTGGAATGCATGGCATGTTGGGAACAAATTAAGGGAAGATCTGTTCACTCTGTTTGAGGATAGAGGACACTGAATATAAAATGTGGAATGAAAACCATTTCTGGTTTCATCTAGACCACCCTCTTCTGTGGAATTCCTCCTGTTATTGAGGGCCATTCTCTTTTGCTAATACCACCCCCCCCCTTTCCCTTCTGTCAATCTCTCTCTTATACTGTAATAGGGTTCAGTGTGGAGTTCACAACCTTCCTGCTCATTCTTACTCCACGAGGTTTTAATAGCCTCAAAGATGACACATCTGACATCTAAGTCCTCATAGATGTCTTCTATGTCTAAGTGCTTTTTACCTGTCTTCAATCCAGTGACCTTCCTTCTTTATACCACTTTGGATTATCAGATCCATAGGCACGTGTTACAATTTGTCACCAGCCATAATTTCTCTTCCACTTCACAGCCTTCTCTTCTTGTTGCCCACTTATTTTTACTCTTCTCAATCCAACTGACTATTAGATTGTTTAAACGAGGGATCATCAGCAAACTTTTTCTGTCAAGAGCCAGGTAGTAAATAGTTTAGGCTGGTGGTTCATATGATCTCTGTTGCAATTATGCAGCTCTGTGCCCTACTCTGTTGTTGAGGGGAAAAGCAACAATAGGCAACAAGGAAGTAAATGAGTCTGGTGGTCCTCTAAGAAAAACTTTTTTTTTTTTTTAATGTTTTATTTATTTCTAGGAGAGAGACAGAGAGACAGCATGATCAGGGGAGGGCCAGAGAGAGAGGGAGTCACAGACTGAAACAGGCTCCAGGCTCTGAGCTGGCAGTCAGCACAGAGCCTGATGCGGGGCTCGAACCCACGAACCGCGAGATCATGACCCAAGCGAAAGTCGGACGCCTAACCGACTAAGCCACCCAGGCGCCCCAGAAAAACCTTTATAAAACAGGCCAAGGACTAGATTTGGTCCATGGGACACAGTGTGTACTTCTCTCTCCTTGGCTGAGACACAGACGGAGACACAGGCTTATAGGAATACAATCAAATTATTTTACTTTTCTGAGTCTCCCTTCTTCCATGTATGTCATGGGAATAATACTTTCTACCTCCTCAAGTTTATAGCAGTTCCATGAGAAGATGAACAAAAAGGTTAAGTGCAGGCGATGGCATATAACAATGAGGAAATTAATGGTTTTTAAAAATGAGTTCTAATAAATATATTCTTTCCTCTCAGCTGTTCTGAATGAGTTTAGAAATTAGAAAAAAGTAAGCAGAGTTCCCTGGGTGGCTCAGTCAGTTAAGGGTCTACCCCTTGATTTTGGCTCAGGTCATGATCTCACAGTTGATGAGTTTGAACCCTGTGTCAGGCTCTGTGCTGTCAGTTTGAGATCCTCCCTCCCTCCCTCTCTCTCCTCTCTCCCCCTCCCTCCCTCCTCCACTTGTGTGCTCTCTCTCTCTCTAAAAATAATTAAAAAAAAAAAAGAGTAAGCAAATGGAGAACCACCCCCAAAATTCACTGTTACATGTAAGCAAGCTGAAGTTGGAGAATGTGGCATGTTTACAGGCCAGTGATCTTTTTAATATTGAATCCTAGAATCAGAGGAGCTTACCTGTCCTGTCCAAGCAGCACTAGACCAAGCCAGGCTTTCTGGAACAGGAAGCAGCAGAGAAGATAGGGTACTTTCTTAAGAAAAAATTATTAATGTTCTTCCAAATGGATGGAAATATCAGGAATGGGTTCTTAATGTTCTGTCTAGAACAAATGTTTGTTATCTTCCCCCACTGTCCCCAGACTGGTAGTTAAGTTCATGAAGTCAGAGCAACCTCTCTCACAAGGTGCTGGCAACACACTCACACATTCTCGTGGTTTTTTCTGAGTGTGTGCCAGGAGAGTTTCTTAGAGGTTAGCTCAGACTTCTCCATGAATGTATTCCAAAAGTAAAGAAGAATAAACTCTGATCTCCAGGGGCCTATGGATATGCTATAAAAGATCCTGCTAAGAGATTAAAATTTCTTAGTGGTCTTTTATCTTCAAAACCAAGCATATGCTGCATTTTCCCTATGGTGAAGTTTATTTACCAATTAAAGAGCTTTAATCCCCTCCCCCAACACAAAATAATTGAGTATAATTAACACTATTGGAAAATGTGCTGTGGAGTATCTAACACCCTTTCCCCCAAATGTGGCCTCACTCCTTCCACCATCAGGCAAAATGACTTCAAGAAGCACAAGTCAGGACTATGTTACTTCAACCAAAAGTCAGCTCTCCATCATGTTTATTTCCTCTCAATCTGGTCTCAAAGATTTTGGAGCCAAAACCTCCTTTCTGTGGGCTGCAGGCCCACAAAGGTAATGGTCCTGGAGCTCCAGCCTCAACTCAATTACTGAACCGTGAGCTCAGACCAGTTTTGTGGCCTCTCTCCATGTCCCTGGCTCTTTGTTACAAGGGGTCATAGTGTTTGTCCTGACCAGCTCAACACCTATTACAAAAACAACATGAGTTAATTATATGTTTTAGGGGTGCAAAGCACTTGTCTGCTTACTATGCTATTATCTGTGTGGTCATGGTAATTATGCCAGTAGCTCAAAACACACATTTGTCATCAAGGATTTATGGAGTCAAATGTTTTCATTTTTTTCCACATAGGAGAGAAGACACCAGGGTTTAATTTAAGAAACCTTGATCCACCATTATAACTGTCACAATACTGTAGTACAGGGCAGTAGAGAAACTGCCAAGGGAGAAGAAGGACTGGCAGGATCTATTCATATCTTTCCTCCCACCCCCTTGCCTCCAGTAAATTCCTTTAGAAATTCCTATCATATCTCTGGGCCAACCTCCAACATGCTATGATCACAGCTCTGATATCCATGCGGTTATATAGATATGTGCCTGGAGAGATTAGCAAACAAGCATCAAATGTATATACACAGATCATATATATGAGAAACATGCATGTATATCTATATATCTATATCTAGATATCTCTATAACTAGATCTATATCTTCTTATAGCTTTCTCTGTATTTCTATCTATACAGATACTCCCATGCAGAGCAATGCAAGTGAAGCGTGGCTGGTGTAATATGGTGGTAATAGGCCACCTGGTAGGTGGCTGTACTGTGACCACGTACCACCTTTAGTGGCAGTGACACTCATGTCCACAGAATTTGCTCTTTTGGATTCATCCTATCCTGCCACCATTCCAAGTTGTACTGGGATTTACCTATGGTTCTTCCTTTTATGACCTGAGATTTAATTTAAATCCTTGTTGGTTAGGTTCATTCCTAGGTATCTTATTGTTTTTGGTGCAATTGCAAATGGGATTGATTCCTTGATTTATTTTTCTGCTGCTTCATTATTACTGTATAAAAATGCAACAGATTCCTGTATGTTGATTTTATATCCTGCAACTTTGCTGAATGCATGTATTAGTTCCAGCAAGTTTTTGATGGAGTATTTTGGGTTTTCTATACAGAGTCTCTGTCTGTCCCTCGTCTCTATCTCGGTCTGTCTGTCTGTCTCTCTCTCTCTCAAACACACACACACACACACACACACACACACACACACACACAAGAGTATTACTCAGCCATTGAAAAGAATGAAATCTTGCCATTTGCAATGACATGGATGGAGCTAGGATATATTATGCTAAGTGAAATAAATCAGAGAAAGACAAATACCATATAATTTTACTCGTATGTGGAATTTAAGAAACAAAACAGATGACCATATGGGCAGTTGGGAGGAAGAGGAGAGAGGGAAACAAACCACAAGAGACTCTTAATACAGTCCGAGGGTTTAACACAGTCTGAGGATTGATGGAGGAAGGTGGGTGGGAGATGGGCTAGGTGGGTGAGAGGTAAAAGGAAAGCATATGTAAGGACTCAACCACAGGTGGCAATAGGCTGTAATTACATCTATTATCTAAAACACCCTGAAGAACTTCCTCCTGGCCACTTCCTTCTGGGTCTGTAAAGTGATCAGGGGCAGG